ACACACACACACACAACGAATCATCAACCACCACATAGCCAGTCGGCTTGCATAAAACAAGCTTTTCCCCTATTCAAACTGTGCACATATTGACTGTTGCCCTGTACTTAACTCGGTCACCTTCCTTAACCGTTTAACATCCCCTACACAAACTCAGAACATGCTGACGGTTGCCCAAAGCTCGATCAAAATTGGAGCTATGATCCTTTTGGATTGATTGGAGCTTTGATTTCACACTTTTGTGAATGATTGGAGCTTTGATTTCACAACATAGCACTGGGAGTGACATGGCTACTGCGGTCCTTTTTTCTTTTTTTAGGGAGGTAGGGTTTGATTTATTGAATTCAAACCCCGTCGAAATTGCTTGTGAGAACCGCACACTGTCAAAATAAGTTTTTGAAGTTTAACTTGTAATGGAGAAATTAAAGTTTAAACTTTAAACAAATTTTCAACACAGTTGAAACCAAACAAACCAGCACACCATTTTACTTTCATCAAATTCTCACTGAAATTGATCAAAAGATGAAACAAATATAAGTCAAACATGATTGACAACGATTGAGTGAGGACAAAGAAATATATATACTCTATTTTGCCGATGACGTCTGCGGCACAGCGGCACAGCACACAGTAGAGCACGGCAGTAATGACATTTTTGCTGGCCAAATGCAAATGCAACCTTTCCATCACAGTGCCAACTGTGGTTTTCTCTCTCCACAACAGCACAAGGACGAGGCACACACACACACAGAGAAGCCCCCATCCCATGCTTGGCCAAACCGGCCACTACGTTCTCCCCGCAAACACAATGCCAAGCCATCATGAATGCATAAGAGCCATGTTCCTGACTAGATGCAATGATAATCACCAAGTGTCATTTTCGGGAGAAGAAGGTAGGCAAATCTGCGCTGCCAAGTTTCCTCTGACCCACACAATTTCAAATACCATTCATAATAGCACGCGCAGCTGGCATTTGCACGCTTGTTCCTTTTTCTCTTGCACCCCATCATTGCACACAACGATTCGTAAAACCACCACCAATTAAAATCAGTTGTAACCTGGTTGTATCTGGGTTGCCCCTCCTGCAACCCGGTTGTAACATGATTGTAACCTGATTGAAACCTGATTGAAACCTGATTGAAACTGATTGAAACCTGGTTGAAACCTGATTGTAACACGGTTGTATCCTGGTTTTCAACCTCGTTGAAGCCTGGTTGTAACCTGGTTGCCGCCTGGTTGTAACCTGGTTGCAGCCTGGTTGTAACCTGGTTGCAGCCTGGTTGTAACCTGGTTGTATCCTGCTTTTCAACCTGGTTGCAGCCTGGTACAACTTGGTTGTATCCTGGTTTTCAACCTGGTTGCAGCCCGGTTGCAACCTGGTTGCAGCCTGGTTGTAACCTGGTTGTATCCTGCTTTTCAAGGTGGTTGCAACCTGGCCGTAGCCCGGTTGTAACCTGGTTTTTAAAGTGGTTGCAGCCTAGTTGTAACCTGGTTGAAACCTCGTTGAAACCTGGTTTTAACCTGCTCGTAACCTACTTGTAACCTGGTCGCATCATGGTTTTCAACTTGGTTGTAGCCTGGTCGTAACCTGGTCGTAACCTGGTCGTAACCCGGTTGTATCCTGTTTCTCACCTTGCTGGCAGCCCAGTTGTAACCTTGTCGTCACCTTCTTGTGACCTGGTTCTAACCTGGTGTCACGCTGCTCTCAAGGTACGTGTAATTAGTTTTATTTCCCTTCTTTTTCCATTTTCCAACATAAAAAAAAAAGACACTGCTCCTGACTGCTCCTGCAACAAGAGAGATTTGCATTCCTGTCTCCCCCCCCCCCCCCCCCCCCGAATTGTCGGGCATTGATCTCAGCCACATGTGTCCGGAGCGTTACGGCTGCCCGTAACGCTTCGGTCCGGTT